CGCCCCCGAGGCCCGGCCGGCGTGAGAGAGCAAACAGAACACGAATCACTTACAACGGCATCGTCTCCTGCGCCGGCACCGCCCAGTCACTTCCCCCCCGCAACCGCCGCCGCTGCCGCCCTGGGCATGATCCACTGAGGCGGGAGGGAGGGGGGGGCCTGCCTCAGCCCTGGGTCCAACCCCACTCCCGCACCCGCTCCCGCCGCTTTAAGCGCTTCTCCTCCTTCCCCTTCGTCCTAACATGGCGCCCGAGCGCTACCACAGCAACGTTCTAGAACCGCTGACGCCGCCACGCACGCCGTGCGCGCGCCTGCGCACCAGACACCCGGCACCGCGCCGCCTCACGGGAAGCGTAGTTTGCGAAGCGACCGTGGGCCCTCAGTTCCCACCCTGATCCTCCCACGCTTCCGCGACGGGTGTCGAGGGACGGCGCGGTGTCGGAGGCTCCGGACGGCAGTCAGCCCTCAGGCGGGGATACCCTAGTGGCCGAGTGGGGGCGACGCGGTTCCGATGGCGCGGGAAGGTTCCGCTGCGACCCCCGGCCCCCGAGGCGCCGCTTCCGGTGCACCGTGCTGACCCGCCCTTCTCGCCTCCCGAGGCGCCGGCGCGTGAACCATGTGCTGCTTGGGGGCGCGGGTGGGTCGCTGCCGTGGGTTATGACAACTTTCTCAACCGCACCGTAGTTTACCGAAGGTAGGAGTCATGCTTACTTCATAGGGTAACCGAGGCTTTATGCGGTGAAGCCAGAGAGGTGCTTAGCTCGGAGCCTGGCTCGGCGCGCCACAGCGTTGCTAGGACTCGCTCTCTCCTGCGGTACTGCGTTCCGCCGACGGAGCCCCTCGTCCGTCTGGTCCACTGATGTTCCTGACGTCTGTATGCAGGCTCTCCGCAGATATTTATTGAGTGGATAAGTTTTGCTAGATCGGATTGTGATGACAGCCAGTTCTGCAACACGAGCTACTTGATAAAGCTGTCGGTAACTACTGAGATTTTAGCAAAGGCTGTTTTGAGCCGAATTTCCCCCCAGGCTGTGTTTCCAGCCCTTAATCTCTTTGTGGTGGGACCTAGAATTCGACCTTCTGCCTTGTCACCGGTAAAAGCTTGAAGAGGTGCCTGAGGCAGCCCCTGCACTCTGACGCTCTTTCCCTCTGTAAATTAGAATGGACATTCCAAAGTGTTGCACAAGTTAATAGGGGTAGGGTGGGGGTCAAATGAGTAGGGGAAAGCGTTAGCCTGACGTTTCAAAACTCTAAATATTTTTATATGCGCTTATACATCCTCAGAAGATCTGACAAAGGACTTATTTTCCTTCTAGGACTAATGATTCAGAATGCGAAAAGCACAGGCTGTAAATCTGTATGCCACGTTTGGCTGTTAACCACTTGAAATGAGGCTGTTCCATTTAATATGAGCTGTAAATGCAAAATACACACGGATTTCAGAGATTTTAGCACAAATTAATAATGTGAAATACTGTAATCAATTACTTTATATTGTTTACATGTTGAAATAATGTTTTGGTTCTGTTGCATTAAAGAAAATGTTATTAAAATTAATCTCACTTGCGGGGCTGGCATCTCCAAAAAAATCTGAGGATATGAGATTCAGAGAAATCCATAACCTATTAAGGCTTCGGTCTTAAAAGTGGTCAATGGAGTACTGGGATTGTAGCTCAGTGGTAGAGCCTAACATGTGTGAGGCCTAGGTTTGATTCCCCAGCACCACATAAAACTAAATAAACAAAAGTATTGTGTCCATCTACAACTAAAAATATATTTAAAAAAAAAAAAAGTGGTCATTGAAGTCCTAGCCCAGGGTCCTGACTGGGGAACTGTCAAATGAGGTCTATTTGCCCCAAAAAACAAAAAGAAAAGGTAACATTGAAAAACATGAAAGGAGCTTTACTCTTTAAAGCATAACTGTACTGAGAAAACAAAGGCCCTTAGCCCAGAGACTGAGAATGACTTTGATGTTTTATAAGGGAATAGGGGCAATGGTGAGGGGGGTCTGCATAGCTGGTGGGATTTCATAAGCTGCCAAAACAGGTGATCTTGACCAGGTCATTATCTCAGGATTGGGCAGGCAGGGCCTTGTCCCAGAGGAGAAAGTGCTGTTGCGTGGTAGGGAGCTGGTGGTAAGGTTGACTCATCACATGATCATTATCCTATCAGACCTTGTTTCTGGAATCCAAGGTGACTCAGAGCAAAGAAGATGAATGCAAAATGCAGGCAGAGATGCCAAGTCTTTAATCCAGCTTTTAACCATCCATTGGACATTTGCAGGAAAAAGTAAAGTGTCTTAAATCCTTGATACTGAAGTTGCTCATAATAATGTGTCTGAAGGTGTTGAAAGGAAAGTGAGGAACGAGAGACAGGTAAGCAAGAAATGAAAGACAGAGACCAGGCAGACATAAACAGGAGAGTTTATTTGTCAGAGCTGTCAAATAGGCCATCTCTCTATAGTGGAAAGAGGCAAAACAGGCTTGGGTTCCAAGTCTTTTATGGGGCAGGCTCAGGATCCTACTGCAGGTGGTTAGGGGTTGAATTGGTGTGAGGGAGTGGGAAAGCGAAACTTTTCCCTTAAAATGGTGACTGTCACTTAAGATGTCCTTCCAGATGCTAAGTAAGGATCTTGTAGTCCCCACTTTTTTGTTTTTTATTGGGCCTCTTAGGAAACAGGGATGTAGGTCAATCTTCTATAACTTCTACCTGCTGGGAAGGGGTGGCATTTGAATCCCTCATTAGGGGCACGGGATGTAGGTGACCATTGTCCAAGTCATAGAATGGCTATGACTGAGTGGAAAGTTGAATTAGTCAGAAGCCAAACGGAGCGGGCAGAAGCCAAACGGAGGTGAGTCGGGGGGATTCTGGATTGGGAGTTCCCCATGGTGAGTTGGAGTGCTGGAGTGGCTAGAGGAAGACGTCTCCTGCTTTAGGACAAACCAGAGTGAGAGAGGGGTCAACATTGAAAGGGGTGGTCACCACCCAATTCACTAGCCCCAGGGCCGAAGCCTTTCTGGGACTGAGAGAAGGGAGTCGTCACCTACTATTTCCCTAGTCCCAGGCTTTGCCCATAGAGAGTCTTGTTGCCTGGCCAGGGCTTTTGTGAGCTCTGCTGAGGAGGTGAGAACCAAGACCTGAGAGTGAACTTGCCAAGCGGAAGGGATGGGAAGGTCGAGAGTCTTGGTGCTGGGCCAAGATCTAGGTTAACTTTTGTCGCTAGAGAGAATTGTCTGAGTGGTGGTGGAATGCAGTCCCCAGCGGCCCAATTTGGGTGAGGGATTGGTGGTATTCCTGTAACAAAAGCTGGTTTATAGTTTGGCTAGAGATTTTTTTGGATCCATTTTTTAATTTTAGTTTATGAGTGCTCTATGTGTTGGTTTTGATACGCACACATAGACAAGACAGTACACAGAATAAATGAGTGAAGGCCTTATCACTTTTAAAACTTATTAGATTAAGAGCTGAAGGGAAATCAAGAAATGAGAGACAGGTAAGTAAGAAATGAAAGGCAGAGATCAGGCAGACATACACAGGAGAGTTTATTATTTGTCAGCGCTGACAAATAAAGGCCATCTCTCTATAGTGGAGAGGCAAAACAGGCTTGGGTTCCAGGACTTTCATGGGGCAGGCTGAGGAATCAGAGCCCAGCTGCTGGTGGTTAGGGTTGGGTTGGTATGAGGGAGTGGTGAGCCTTTCTCAGAAATGCCCTTGGGCGGGAAAGTGAAACTTTTTCCTTAAAATGGTGGTTGTCACTTAAGATGGCCATCCAGATGCTATGCAAGGACTTTTAAGAGCCAACTTTGTAAATGAGAGAAAGAGATAGGGAGGAGGGAGAGGGAGAAAATTTTGAAGTCATTCTGTGTTGTAGCCAAGGGAAAATTTAAATTGACTTTTTTTTTTTTTTTTTTAAGTTTTAAGCCTTTTATCCAGCCTGCTGAGTCTGCCCTTTGTATTTCAGTGTTAGCTTCAGTGTGGCCTTGGCCAGGGACATTGCTGCCCAGGGCTTTACAATGTACTGTGCCCATAGGAGCAGGGAGGAGGGTTCTGCATCCCTTGTTTGTCTAGAAGCAGGGTCTCTGGAGAATCCAGAGCTTTAGTGGCAAGTAGAAGCTGGCAGAGTGGTGGGCAAGAGGAGCCCAGGGAAGGCTAAGAGTGAGAAAGGAGAGAGCCTGCACGTAAGGGGTTTCCTGCCATTTTCCTGAGCGCTTGCAAACGTTGTGAGGATTAAGGACCTAAATGAGGCCGGAGTGTAGATGAAGAAGAGCGCCAGGTGAATGGCAGAAGGTGTGTGCTCACTGTCCTGGGCCCTCAGGCCAGAATCCCAAAGCAGCCCAAATCCCTGAGGGGAGAGCAAAGCTGATGGGAGAACTGATGGAGTCACCAGCATCAATGAAAGAAAAGCGGCCCAGAACTAGTCACACACCCACCTGGGGTAAGAAGCAGGTTTATTGTCTGGAGCCTGACAAGGCTACTCTGCAAAGAGAGAGCAGCGGCAGCAAGGAGGGACAGCAGGTGTTGTGATTGGGCCAGAAAATGGAGCGGGGTTTGAGACGACGTGAATGGCCTCGTGGTGTGAGGCGATCCCAGCCAGTAGGGTCCACCTGGGAAGGGGTAATGGGAAGGCACTGGCAGATGGAATAGAGGACGGTCCTAAGGTGAGGGTGAGGATCAGGGGAGCAGCAGGTGAGTCTGGATGGAAGTGTATATGAGGGGAGAAGGAAAGTGTCACCTCCAACTTTGTCAGGATGTCCCTTCGCATAGGGAAACAGGGCGCTGTGGAATGACCAGAAAGGAGGGGTAAATATTAGCCAAAAGCGCAAACAAGGCTGAGTGTCTGTGAGGGTTGTAAGGTTTGCCCTCTACCCCACAACAGAGGTCATAGAGCGAGTGGTGGCCCCAGG